ATTTATACGGAGCCCCTAAAGGGACATGGTGGTGGGGAAAAAATTCGGGGTGGGAGGAAATTTTTTTTTGCGTTCTCTCGCAAAAGATATTTGCGTTTTGCGAGGGAACGCAAATATCTTTGCGAGAGAACGCAAATATCTTTGCGAGAGAACGCAAATATCTTTGCGAGAGAACGCAAATATCTTTGCGAGAGAACGCAAATATCTTTGCGAGAGAACGCAAATATCTTTGCGAGAGAACGCAAATATCTTTGCGAGAGAACGCAAATATCTTTGCGAGAGAACGCAAATATCTTTGCGAGAGAACGCAAATATCTTTGCGAGAGAACGCAAATATCTTTGCGAGAGAACGCAAATATCTTTGCGAGAGAACGCAAATATCTTTGCGAGAGAACGCAAATATCTTTGCGAGAGAACGCAAATATCTTTGCGAGAGAACGCAAATATCTTTGCGAGAGAACGCAAATATCTTTGCGAGAGAACGCAAATATCTTTGCGAGAGAACGCAAATATCTTTGCGAGAGAACGCAAATATCTTTGCGAGAGAACGCAAATATCTTTGCGAGAGAACGCAAATATCTTTGCGAGAGAACGCAAATATCTTTGCGAGAGAACGCAAATATCTTTGCGAGAGAACGCAAATATCTTTGCGAGAGAACGCAAATATCTTTGCGAGAGAACGCAAATATCTTTGCGAGAGAACGCAAATATCTTTGCGAGAGAACGCAAATATCTTTGCGAGAGAACGCAAATATCTTTGCGAGAGAACGCAAATATCTTTGCGAGAGAACGCAAATATCTTTGCGAGAGAACGCAAAAAATCTGACAAATATTTTTTCCTCCCACCCCAAATTTTTTCACTCAGTCTGATTTTTTTCCACCACCATGTCCCTTTAGGGGCTCCGTACATTTATGATTTCAACATTCATCCAAATTATTTAAAGTCACTATAAGTTGTCTTGATTCATGGCTTCAAAACTCACAAATGGATCACTCACCAAATAAGAACAAAAAAATCAGTACAAATACACTAGGTGCTTTAGTGCTTAGAATCCAAAACTAACCAAAAATAGTCCAATTGCTTTTAAAGTCTACTGGCCATTCAGGTAAAACACTTATGTTGTTTGTAAAATAGTTATGTATCATGTACTAAAATTATTAGTTTACTCAATTAAAATTCCATCATCATTATCCTTATTACTGTTAGTACATGCTGATCTATCTATAAAATACATTTATTATTTGTTTGTTGTTGACACACTGGTGTTATTGAATTGATCACTTGTCAAGTCGTTTACTTTGTGTTAGAGGAAAAATATTTATATAAAAAAAATTGGTTTGGGAGTGTTGCATTCGGTTACAAGACAGTGGCATTTAACAATTATCGTTCACTGAATTTCAGCAATAAATTACTTAAATTTTGTTTTGTTGCAGGGCTGGGTATCAATACAGATTTCCCAATTCAATCTGATTCCAATTCATTTGGGTGTATTATAGTTATAATCGGTTATAATCTCTTTTTGGGTACATATGGTAAAAATTATCTCTGCTAATGCTGAAAATGAAGGCAAGTGTTTGATATCGACTCAAACGGTAACCCGTCTCTTTGAAATATTCAACAGAACAAACTCATAAGAGTCATTCGTTTCGGGAAACGGGCTACACTTATTGGACAGATGTTTTTTTATTTACTAAAAAGTACAAAAGTAAGAAGTACCTAGAATATAATTTATTTAGCTATAGTGCTAAATATTCAGTACTGGCATCACAGATTCCCCTGTGTTACAAAGCAGTGATGCAGGGAAACCTTCTAACATGGTGCAGAAGATGCTTTTCACTGAAAGCCATTCAAAATGTACTAATTGCAGATTCAGTGTCTCTGGAGTAATCTAGAGTTCAGTGTCTTCCCTCAATTACATGGTGCTGATGGAGCAGGTTAATGTTTACAGGTTCAGTGTGAATCGAGTTACATTTGGACCGGATCCAGTTAAGTTTTGAGATGTTATTTATACTTCACATTGTTGTGTTTATTTGTTATAGTGCTGATGGGTTTCCTGACCTCCGGCTGCCGTACGTGTGTGAACTGAAAGCTTCTGGGAGATTTCCAGAAGAATCTGACTCTTCTCCATACCGCCACGCTCCTGCTCATAGAGCAGCGAGTCTGAAGAGGAGAGCTGAAACTAAACACAGACACCCGCACACACACACACAAATACAATTAGCAAATTAGATGGCGGTGCTCTGAGAGGGAGAGGGGTTTCTTTTACGCTAATTTGTCACGTATGACATGCCTGACTTGAATAACTTGCAGGTGGACCGTGGACGGCCCCCGTAAGAGCCCAAGTCTACTTATTGCTTCTGTGGAGGTGAAGCCAGCAGAAATGAGCAGTTTAAAGTGCCCCTATTGTGGATTTTTGAAAATTTCCTTTCATGCAGTGTGTAACACAGCTCTAAGTGAATGAAAACATCCTGTCAAGTTTTAAATCTGAAAGTGCACCGTGTATAAAGTTATTGTCTCTCAAAAGAAAGAGCCGACTCTGAATCATTGAAACTAGTCATTTTTAAAAGGAATCCCAAGATGTTTTGTTGACGTCAAAATCAAACATTAGCATATTGCCTGCCCACTTGTTCGTTGGACTGAATGAAAATGCAAATTCATTCTTTGCCACTAGGTGCCGCTTTTGGAGCGGTAAAATAGCCGTTTCCCCAGTAATGCTGTAAACAAAGCAGCACTGCGCTCACAAACGCTGCTTTATCAGGCATTACAGGCAAGATGAAAAAAGATGAGACCAATCGGACCATTCACTGCAGATTAGGGTCACGCAAAGGAGGGGTTTGGAAAAATGAATCGTTAAACTAATCGTTTGGGAGTCTTTGAGCAAGTAAGGTAAACATAAATGCATATTATAAGACAATGACAGTGTTTTTTGACCTTGCATGCATGTCAACCTGTTGTTGGGGACTCCCAAAACCAAAATATGAACCTTTCATAAAGTAAAGTAGTCTGAATAACTGGACATTACTATTATCTGACTATTTACATTTCTATAGTAAAACAGTATATAAAATATTATATTATATGTTTAGCTATTACATAGTTCCTCACAATCTTTTTTACAATGCGTCAAACTGTATTTCATGTTCGGATTCTTTGGACAGTAAAGCCTGTCATCTTTGATTTGATTGGCCATCTCAATCATTTTGACATTGACGAGCATTGTTAGTCCACCAAGGCTGAACAAATAGCATAAAAAGGTAACTTATAAATTTTTTTGTCATCCTAACAACAAACAAGGTGGTGCATAATGGACTGCAGCAGAGCAGCATCAACACTCTCAGGAAAAAAAAGGGATAAAAGCTGTTACTAGTCCTTTCAAAAGAGTACTTAATACATACAATAAAGATACTGATATGCACACTTCAGGTACTGATATGTACCTTTAAGGTACAAATACGCACCTTTTAGGGGTAAATAAGGTACAAAGGTGTACCTTTTGAAAAGGTATTGCCCCAGTGACAGCTTTTGTACCTTTTTTCTGAGTGGGAAATTTTGGGCATATCTGAGTATTTGGTGGGTGGAGGTGACCTTATCCCCCTCATTTTCTGGCAGTTATGGCCCTGCAGATATGGTATCAGATAGTCATACATGTTGTTAATGTGGTACTCCAAGTTAGGCACTTCAAAGAATGGTTATTCCATGGTATGTGTACAAAAAACAAAAGCCATGGGTGTCAAGTCCAGAAAAAGAACTTTTTTGAGAGGGTAAAAACCCATCACTTCATAATGCTACTGTACCTCCACAGACGGAGAGGATGGTGGAGTGGACAATGTTTTCCAAAATGACCACGAGAACATTCCAAAACAGACGTGGAACAGGCAAAGGAACACCACTGACAGAAAGAATATATACAAACAGTTATCAATCAAAATAACTGGAAGCAAATGTCAATTCATTCAAACATTAGAACTGCATATTTTCATACAATGAATATCTAGAAGAACACAAAGACTACATACCTCTCTGCGTTGAACAGGAAAGCAGGACTGTCACAAATATGAACAAGAGTCAACACAGTCACTTATAACATCTGATCATATCTATAATATATACATAAATGAACTTTTGAATGAGTTATAGAGATTCAGAACTCTATCTGATGCTCAATGACCTTCCAAAACAAAAAGGGGAGCTGGGGAGCGAAACATAATTTTAACCAAAAACACAAGCTTCCTACCTGGAATCACTACAATAATCTGTATGTTCTATAACAACAATGCACTTCTACTAAACCCACAAATATTGCACAGAATAGGTCAGTAATTATACAGGCTTCATTTTTCAGTTGCGTGAGTGACTATTGAGTTCTGTATTTGTTTGCAATTGTTCTGAATCAAAATGTTTTTTTATTTCTTTAGATTTTCGCACTAACATTATTAGGTGTTGTGGTTGTGATGGTGAATGGCGTAATTAATTCTGAACAACTCAATTTGATTTGAAATTCATATACAAAATTTATATACCTCATTTAAGTCAACCCCACCTCAAGTCATTTGTACCTGACATTAAATTACACCGTGATACTTGAGGATTTCAAAACTACTTTAATCTGTAGCAGACAAACACAGCTGTCTCACATTAAAATTGAGAAACGGTTACACAAAAACAAAACGTTACATGAAGTCCGGTTTCTTCACCTACATTTTGATATCACCTGTTTTTCACACTACGAGAAATCTACGTCACTAAACACCTAACTTTAAAGATTTCGCAAAAAATATTACTTACTCCAACAGAAGTGCACGACATATGCGTAGTATGACCACATCACAACCATAATAACGATCGTAACCGGGATCCAGTAGAGAAGCCGCGCACAGCGCCGGAGGCACGCGGTCAGAAGCATCACGATGACCGTCACAAGTCTCTCTATCTCTGGACAATCTGTGACTGGAGCAACGAGTCCATAGTAATGAAGTAGAGGAATAAGAGAAACAGCGCCCCCGCAGGACAAAGCACGTGTTTTTTTATTTCTTCTATTATTTTATTACAAACAAAACATTTGAACAAGGAAGAGTGCTCACATGTAAACACAGATTGAGCTTTCGAATTTTAAACTTTAATTAAAAAAATGAGTATTTTTAATATTTAAACACAAAACGTATTAGCAACAAAACTGGCAACAGTCTTTTTGTATACAGGCTACTGAACCCACATTGTGTCCAAAAGCACATACTTGTGCCGAGGACTTCTCTTCATACTCCTGCTGGTTTTGAGGTAGCTAGAAACGCAGAAGTTCTCAGACACACCGTTCAATACAGCAAGGAATTGGTTTTGCTTTGAGGTCTCAAAACATGTGTGCCTAAACGTCATCTTGTGAGTCCATTCAGTAGTCTAATGTTAAAACTACATTCATATTGCCGATATTTACAGCAGCTTATTTATATCAGGCCCAACACAAACTATGCTTTAGGAGGAGAGGGGGATCGGTTTATGTGTTTGTTCTTGGAACTGAGTAAACCACATTGGGATGCTCCAGTCGAAATGTGATGTTGGAGTTGTTACAAGTGACCCAAGCAGCAGAACCTTCGGCATTGCCTTGTTTCACATGCAATGAAGTAGTTGAAGGAACACTCTTGGTTGTATAGGCGAAGTTTAGAGAAGCCAGAGCCTGCTGAGGATGAATGAGGAGAGAAAGACATTGACTGTCAGCACTGCAGAATTCCTGTTTCATACACACACAGAAAGCTAAATGTCAGGTCAGAGGTGAAAACTCATTTTACCTGTAGTGCCTGGTTGGCGTTTCTGGGGGTGAGTTCATTGGAGTTCTGTACAGAGGCCTGAAAGAGACAAGTCATGAATAGGCTGGTATGCATGAGGTGTCATGCAGGAATAAAAACGTTTCCACAAAGCTGGAAGCAGAGCAGCGTCCAAAATGTCTTGGTACACTGAAGAATTTCAGATTTCCCTTCACTGATAGTAAGGGGCTTAACTATACCATTTTCTCTCCTCCATTAAACTTTATAGTTGGCACGATGCAGTCAGGCAGGTAACATTCTCCTGGCATA